TCGGTCAGCTTTTTGCTCGTCTCTGCCCTGGACAGTTTTGTATGCCCTTTTAAAGGCTCGGAAGTCTGACTTTGAAAGTAGTGGGGATGAGAATAAGGACCAGTAGGAATTTTGGATATTGCTTAAGGAAGTCAAGGATCGTATGAGTAATTATATACAGAAGAATGAACGGTTAGGAAGGAAATCGAAAGTTAGCTTATCTTATTTACTAGCCTATGACGGTATCCAACAGTTATTGTAACCTGATGTAAACTAAGTACCCTATGTACGAGAACGGAATAACTGAGAAACAAGAGAGACGGATGAGGATGCAACAATGATAAAATGGAGATGATTTCTTTAGGTTTTTATAATATTTTAACAGTGTATTTGAATTTTGTAACGGGATATAACACTGATTAATTTAACAAATAAAACACAGACGAACAAGATTACGAATTTATGATTAAAGGTTATAGAATATATTTACATTCTTAAATGGAAACTTAATAATGCTATGTAATTTCCTGGATGTAATTGTAAATATCATGCTATAAGGAAGCAAACATCTGTCAAATAATTTATCAATGTTCTACATAAAAAATTTTCAAGTTAAAACAGACAGAATAAAAGACAAAGGCTCGCTTTTTTTACTTTTTATGAACAATTTTATGGGAATAAGCATTAAAATAACATTTATACGAAACACTGTTAAAAGAAAAAAAATTATATAAATATATATTTACGTACATATGTAACGACACTCTGACAGTCTAAGATTCAAATTTGAGGTTAACTTAATATTAATACGTTCAATTTTAATATTATTCACCTAAATCATCCATACTTAATATACGTTGATTTTCTGTACACGAATTCACAAATTATATTCAAATTTTGATAATTTCGATGATTTATTGAGAAAAAATGCGTAAAAACTGAATTCTCAACCAACTCGTCAAAGTTTGGCAAACCAAACATCAGGTATGGAGAACCCGGTCCTTAATACACAATTCCCATTTATCTTGTCTACCCTTTAGAGAAAATAGTAACTTGGGATTTAATCTTGACATCCCCCTTCTCTTTCATTATATGTATTCACAACAATAGTAGAAACATATAAATAATACTTTATTTATGGTATCAGTTGAAATATACAATGATAAAATTAGATTACATCAGGAATCACAAATTTTAACGAATTTAAATTATTTTACCAAGACGAAAAATCATTAAATGAATTTGTCACAAGCTTCTTCTTCTTTGTCACAGATTCAATATTAAACTCTGTCTTTTCCATTCTATAAATAAAATAAAATAGTTAATAATGTCCTAGCATGTTGCAAACCTACATAAGTAGGTACACATTTAACTCTATATGTATTTTAATATTACTTTTCTTCATCTTTATCCATCTTGATGTACTTTCCTACACCCGACCGGTATATTTTCAACTCATTTTTTTCCTTTTTATTGAAAGATTTATTTTTTGCTGCTTCTTGAGCTAACCGCACTGCTTCAGCCGCACGTTCAGCGATCAACTGTTCATCTGCTTCTTGAAAAGGATCAACAAAAACTTGAGCCTTCTGAATAACTATATCCTCTATTGGTCTATCTTTGTTATCAACTTCTACTTTTTCAATAGCATTTAAGGTTTCCAGTCCACCCACTATTTTGCCAAACACAGTATGTTTTCGATCTAAATGTCTACATGATCGAAAAGTGATGAAACTGTAATTAAAATAAACGTAATTAAAAAGAATATTTATAAATATATAGAAATACATTATAGAATTTATACAATTGAGATCCATTTGTGTTGGGACCAGAATTTGCCATTGATAAAATTCCTCTTCCTTGATGAATCAAGTTTGGTTTAAATTCGTCTTCAAACTTTTTGCCCCAAATAGAT